AATCGGGATACGATGACATGTGTCAACCGAGCCAGCGACTATGGCCACCAGATAACGTATGTCGCCTCTTACGACACGGGTTGCTGAAGACCAGTTCTAACCCGTATCTTCACGGGTATGCTGCATTTGTAGTTCCAGCGGGTGGGGTAATCCCCGGGTATCTGAGTACGCAGTTTAAGGAGAAATGTATGCGATGAATTGGTTAGCGTCGCATTTAATGAATTATTGCTACTGTTTCTGGTCTTTTCAGTATAAGCAGTTGTCGCGTCATTAACTTTATTATTAGTACAAGTGTTGTTGTTATTAGTAGTAGTGGTGGTGGTCGTAGTAGCAGTAGTGGTAGTAGCATCAGTATTGGCAGTAGTAGTACTACTAGGAGTAGTATTAGTAGTAGTATTAGTAGTAGTAGTGGAAGAAGTAGTAGTAGCAGTAGTAGCATCAGTATTGGTAGTAGTAGCAGCAGCAGCAGCAGCAGGAGTGCATGTGCACTGTGGATTCCCTCATTGTTGTCCCGTTATAGAGGAGTATTTGTTGTATTATCGAGAAACGATCTTCTACGATTACTTTTACAATTCTGATCATCTGGAATAAGACAAATGTCCTAACTGGAGGGATAGTACTGCATTAATAATTCGTCTGAATGTAAATTGAAGATTGAAGAGAATGATCGATCAAGTTGACAACAGGTATTCTTTCAACTCACACATATGGGTACCCGGCAGATTTATATTGCGTATTTATAAATCTCCCTCCCTCCATACCTGAAGCTTAATTGTGCTCGGTTGCTTAATTCCTAGAATGTCAAGGGTTTTGTTCCTCAGGCAAGTGACTATGTTCGAAATATGCCTCTGTCCACCCAGCTGCTAATGGGCACCCAGCAGTATGATATGGAAATGTGACTGTTAAACTTCAAGCGCCTCAAAGGCTGCATGGGTTGTACATTCAAAAGGGAGTTGATGGTGCTATTTGGGAGCACACCATCCATTGACCAGGATTGTAATGATGGAGCGCACGGAGCATAGTAATGTGTGCAAAATAACGCACTATGAATTAAATCATCATCATCATTTCTAGTTTTTGTTACACCATTCATGCACAAACTTTAATTACATCTATCAGTTAGAAATATATGAATTCCTGAAGTGGATGTCGACATAATTGTAAACGATGCGAAGTACGACCTGTGGCCAAAATGCTGTGCATATGTAAACAAGTTTTTGGTACCACCACCAACGAAGACGAGTTGCAGTTAGTAATGAAATAGCTTCTGTAGTGGGTCTAGATTGCAAGTGACTGATAACGGTATTTGTATCTACACCGAAACGACACATTCTTTGTATAATGAAGTTGTATAACCATAGAACAGTCCCCCTTGTAAGTAATAAAATACTTCAGTACGGCTGGTGACTGGCAACGAAGTCCGAGCAAACCGTTTTTGCCTTATGAAGTAATGCTTAAGTGTTCGAGGTGTACCTTTCACGTCAGTTGGCCTTATGAATTGAGCCCGTCTGTTAGCTTAGATCCCACCTGCTTCGACTGTAGCTGTATGTATAGTACAATACAGTGCCACGGACAGTTGAGCGTAAGCAGCATGAGTGATATCTGGGTCGTGAAGAGGTAAGGCAATTGTTAGGTTTTGAGAAAGTTGTTCTTGAAAGTTGTTCTTCTTTGATTCTCATCTGAAGCAATGTCTTTGCAAATTTCAGTGAACACGAATTTCATGCAGTTTTGGTACTTGGTAATGATTCGAAGTCGAGGAATAACATGCTACGTTTAAACAAACTCGAATATTCAATCATTGTCCATTTGGTTGGAACTTTTGTTGCCTTTTTCACTGAAATGTACCAGTCCTGAAAAAAATGGATCACGTGCAATCGAAAAAAGCATGTACTATTATTCGATCGGCTTACCAGCATAGGGACATCTGACTTGTCAGACAATTTTTTAATATATCGAACCCTATATGTCAAAATTAGCCGCGTTTGCTTCATTCATTTTCGAAAGACATTTTGTTGTGATTACCAAATATTGTTGACATTCTTTGTAAACTAATACAAAATGTTTCAAAATCATTATGATAATATTGTGTCATTACAATATTATGTGTAAATATGGTATTCCTTCTTTCGGGTCAGGGGCGGTGGGGTAGCCTATTGGTTAAAGCGTTGGCTCGTCACACCGAAGACCCGGGTTCGATTCCCCACATGGGCACATTGTGTGAAGCCCATTTCTGGTGTCCCCACCGTGATGTTGCTGGAATATTGCTAAAAGCGGCGTAAAACTAAATTCAGTCAGTCAGTCAGTCTTTCGGGTCAGGCTAACACCTAAACCTTGTTATATGGATGATTGTCTTTCTGATTAATGAGTAATTTGATTTAAATGAAGCGTGTTCTCTCGGTCTACGAAGCGTAATGGTCTCTCACGATATATTGTTTGTGTGTCAGTTTGAACCGTTTATGTAACGTTGACCTTCACCTACCAGTGAGTCAAATGACTGACATGAGCATTAGTTCGTGACAATATAATACAAGACGTGCAGTCGCCGAGTCTGACTACCTGATCCATTTAACTGCCTCGTGGTGAGTTGCTTGTTGTTTAACGCCACACTCAGCAATATTCCAGCTATATGGTGGCGGTCTGTGAATAATCGAGTATGTACCAGACAATCCAGTGATCGACAGCATGAGCATCGATCTACGCAAGCCTAACGAGCCTAACCAACCGGTCCCGTTAGTCGCCTTTTACGACAAGCATGGGTTACTGAAGATCAATTCTAACCGGGATGTTCACTGGTCTAACTGCCTCGTGGGTTGCTGCGGGTAAATACTCCGCCAGGTTAACGATATAGGGGAGTAAATGAAGTTCAAATAATCGACATTCCCTAACAATGTAATAGAAACAAATATGAATCCGAGTATTGATATTTCAAAGATTGTAGAATAAGAGGGACAAAATCAGTAGAATTCTCTATTAAATGTAGAGTCCATTTCACGATTCCGACTACATTAAAGTATATTTGTATTAATATATTTCTCTGTCAATGATGGGTCAAATATGTAACTGCCATCCTCCGTCTACGCTGTACCAAGAACAACTTTTTAAAAGCCGTATGATGTCCTGATCAAGCACTATTTGAACAAAGGTCGATTGACACTCATTGAAATATTCGTCGAAAGATCATGCTCAACTGTACCTGAAACGTTGAGCTGCTGTAATGTCGCTTCACATAAAGGGAAATGTGACTCCTGGATCACATGACTCTTGTCACACAGTGTTGTGGAGAGTTCTTTGTCACTTTGTATATTTATGCATAGATGTAAATATGAAACAAACGATGCGGTTTCCACCGAGCTCAGGTGGGTAAATCAGTGGAGAGTTGTTCCTTAACCGTTTGTTAATGGTATTCGATATATATGAAGTTGTAGGTAAGTTTCTTGGCAAATGGCCTTGTCAATATTCGAGAAAATGTTTTACTGTGTGCCTAAGTGAAAAAAATCAGCACGGATAAGGTGAATGAGTTGGGTTTTACGACGCGTATAGAAATATTCCAGCAATAACATCGCGGGGGATACCAGAAATGGGCGGCACACATTGCATCCGTGTGTCAAATAAATCGAACCCTTGGCGTGACGAGCGGACGCTTTAGCTAATAGGCTACCCCACCGCCTTTTGCAAGGAAGGACGAATGGGTTCCCATGGGGACGCCTATTTCTTACCTAGATGTCTATTCTCAAATTTGTCTCAGGTGTTAACCATGAGAATGTCCAATATTGTTTCCTCGGTGACATTTTCTGCCATTTCTGACAAATTGTTGTAAACCTTTGACGATTTCAATGTAACGATATGCAGGTCCCCACGTATATGACAAATGCCTTTGTTAGCTTTTATTGAACCTTAGGGTCTGTGTTAGTGGTATACAAATGTTAAAGTGTGAACCATAATTGAACTTCATCCTTTTCAGAGAATTAAAAATGTGTTTGACCTGATGTTTGGACATCAATTGGATTTTGGAGAACCATCGTATCAGTCTTTGCATGAATTCCAATCTGTTTACTCTCGAATACCTCCCGTGAAAGTCCGTAGTCATTAATATTTATTTACGTATTACGACCCACTGACAAACCTCTAGTCACCTTGAGTCGCCCAAGTTGAACACACTGGTATACGACGCTCTACCGGCATAGTGTGACAGTCTTAACTCCGTCAGAGTAAAGGAACGATTGTTATCTGGTATGCACATGAAAGAGATCAAATAACTTTTAAATCTTTTTGAGTGTCCACGAATAAAACAGCACCGTTGATGTATGTATAGGGTTTGAACGGTTGTGACATTATACTACAAATGGCTTTCTTCGTGAATATTTAAAAAATGCAAGTGCTTTGTGTATGGTATGCATATGATTGTATAGTGAAATATAAGCTGACCAAACCGCCATTGCAATCTACGTCATCAGATACCAATAACACATGGAGAGGGGTTGGGGTGGGGTGTCTGTTGGGTTGGGGTGGGGAGGGGGTGACAACCATTATTAGGAAAAAACTCTTAGGGCATACATGTTTGTACCTGATTCTCGTAGGAAAAAAAAATAGAAATAGAAATCTGAATTTTATGTTGTGGCTTATTTTATTAATTTCGAAATATTAAAACACCATAAGTAGTTATAAATGGTTATGACGTACATCCAGTCGCTTCACTTCCATTAAGAAGTATGTACTATCGAGCTTTGATCACCGTTTTATCCACAATCAAACACGAATGTCTACTCTCTTTTATAAGTTACTACTTTTCTCGTTGTCTCCATATAATCCTGGTTAGAAGGAAATTATATTTAAATTTGCTATTAGAATCAGACAGGATTCCGCAGCGATTCAAATCCGTCTTGATGTAGAACCGTATTTCTTTCTACAGAATGAGTGTTGGAGACATAAAATGTTATTGGATATTACGTATGTATTAGTGATATCTGGATGCTTCAATTATTCATTATAATGTGTTGTAGGTTGATGGAGCGTCCGAATCTGGACTCAAGGAAAGGCAAGCGACCACCCTGGGCCGCAGATGGGAAGTCCCATCACGCAGAGTATCTCAAACGTCTCACGAGACTTCGCGATCAGCTGGTCGACCAGGAGCAGACGAACCTTGCACAGGCCCTTGACCGACTTCGCATGCGGCAAATCAACAAAGAAGACGCCAATTTTCGTCTCAGATTGAGAGATTCCGGAACAAATCTGTATTCTCCTCGCAGACGTGCCATGGTTACAACTCTGGAGAAATTTAGGAAAATGAGACCCCAGAAAAACCCGCCTATGTTGTTTCCATTAGAAGGAAAGCAGCTGATAGAGCCGAAAGGCTCTGACACTCCACGAACATTTCTTCCGGAAGGTTCTGATGACGTGTCAGTGCCCGTCAGTTCACGAGTTGAGCAGACTGTCCAGCTGAACCTTCAGAGACTAGCACAGCCTATATCGAGCATTCCGAACATTGGCAGGAAAGCTTTAAAACGTGAAGACCTGGTTTTACAGAGTCACGGCATGGACAAAAGGACGCCCAAGAACCCGATGTTGAAGCATACCCACGCTCTTTCACAAGGAACAGCATTAACGCCACTGAATAGAGCCAGACAAATTAACGTGGATCTGGTTCCTGATTCTTTCAAACTTGAACCTCTCACTGAAGGCGATCAGATAGACATGGACAAACTCAGGAAGTACTACTACGTGTATTATCTCCCTTCAACTTCCGCTTCCCAAGATGGCGACCGATCGGATCTCAGGACTCCCAAAAGCACCGTGCGACAACGACGAGTTCAGGGCTACAGAGATAGTGAAAGATCGGTCGTGTCATCAAATGTGTCTCTACTTGATGATGAAGGGTATTCAACCAATGGGAAGACCTCTTTACCATATATAGAATCAACCGGAAGTGGAACTCTTCACTGGCATGATCATCCAAGATTTCCGGAAGACGTTGACATTCATGGTATGAGCACTGCGCATGACCAAGATTATTTAACCGGAAGGAGTTCGCGCGTGCATATTGTTGTCGACATGCCGGATATAATCTACAGCGCCCCTACCCCTGACGTCATTGAAGGAATGGAGGTTAAAAAGGGGGGATCACTCTCAAAGACTTACAAACAGAATGAAATTCGACAAAGAGAGTTACAGAACTTGATTGAAGATGTCAAGGAGCTTAATATGAGAACCGAGACATTGACAAGTGAACTATATCATTAACAGTATTTATGTATTACATGCATGTGGACATATCAGGCCCTTCTATATCAGTTTGTGATATGGTTATACATTTCAGGAATTTTGCTTCATTATATAGAGAATATGTCTAACCTAACAGTCAGAGTAAGGGCTTATGACAATATCATTTTGAGTAGAGAATGTATATAGATTTGATTTTGCTCAAAATCATCCACATTTCTGCGGAATAACATGTCCGGCGAAACCCGGATTATCGAATGTCCATTTGAACGATCATGGGTACATTGTAATGCCGAGCCGTCGTAAGAGGCGACTAGCGGGATTGGGTGTAGCCCGTCGACTTGGTTGACACATGACATCGTGTACAACGATAACCGATGCCATCACTGAATCGTCTGGTCCAGAATCGACTATTTACTGACCTCCGTCATGCAGCGCTTGCTGAGTTCGGTGTTAAGCAGTGCACAAACCAAACCATGTCAGATTGCATATTTTAATTTCCAAACAGTAGGAACTTCCAAACAGTTCTCGGAACTGATGGGTTGATGGATTAACGAGGTTACACTGCACTAAAAAAAATCACTGTATATTGTCTACAGTTGACATTGTCAGATCAGTGGCATGTTGCATGATTTAAAAATGAATAAAACTATAAAATTCCTGATCTTTGGTTCAAATTCCTTAGGTTTGCTTACGCCATACCCGGTCAAGTCATCATCACCAAGTGGAACACACCTTAAACTCGTATCCCTTCTGACTTTCGTTCCACACTGAGTCGTGATGATATAAATGAAGAAGGCGGTGTTAAACCACACGCATGTATCCCAGAACTACAGTAAACTACACGCTTCCGTCATTTAGGGCTTGTGCATTATAGATATGGCCGCTCGGAAGGTAAAATAACGTGGTTTAAGGACTTAGTAACAGGCTAATGCTACACTATAAGTTACAGGTGTAATACCTATGACTGAACGCTGTCTAATTGTCAACAATTATTTCGCCATGAACGGCAGCGTAAAAAATTAAACCATTAAAATATATTAGCAAAAACATGTTTTTTTTAAAACTAATTGTGGGCTTTACCTTTATAAAATAAATAAAATGGCAATATAACACATGTTATATTTGTGATTACACTTTCTCAGTTCGTAATAGTTTTATAATTGATTTAATATGTAGATCCAGTCGCTTTACTTCGGAAGCAATATACTGAGTAAATGTAGAAAAACTTTAAAAGCTGTGAATGTGTATAAGTACCTTGGACTTATGATGACGCCAAAGCCTATTTGGACAAAAGCATGTAGAACATTATCGAGCCAAGCCAGTAAAGCGTTATTCCCAGTTAAAGCTCTCATCAGATGCCTGAATATATCCGTAAATGAAGCTCTCAATATATTTGACATGAATATTGTGCCTATTCTTACATATGGAGCGGCAATATGGAGTTTCAATAAACGTGATGATATTGATCTTGTTCAAAGAAAATTCCAAAAATACGTTTTAAGACAAGGGTATAAATCTTCAAACTGTGTAGCATATGGAGAATGTGGGAGAAACCCACTATGGACTGTATATATGTGCAAATGTGTAAAGTATTGGCTCCGTTTGATAACACTACCTCCGAACAGATACCAATACCAGTGTTATAATATGCTTTTATCGATATCAGCCCGGAGACGTAACTATTGCACAAACATACGGAATCTTCTATTTAGTTACGGATTCGGGCATCAAACCGAAACATGAGTCTCATTAACCAATTCAGACAATGACCTACTTTTCAGCCGATCCGACTGTTCTCGTGTGAAAGTGAAAAGAGACACAACAAACAACTCTGGTTACACTCAATTCCAATTTCTTGTTACATAAGAAAATGGTATTTATAAAATAATTTTCATTTCAAAGTTTAATAAAATCGTATTTCTATAGTTAAAGTCTAGGTGTAGGCAGCATGTCGTTAACAAGACGTCACAGACTGCCCCTGTTTGAAGAGGTCGTACAAAATGCACAATTCATCTGGCTCACTGGTTACACCTGTTATGTGTCCTTTGCGCTTATAAAATGTATTTTTGTAACGTACAAAGTGATTGCTATAATATCAAGTCCGTACCAGATCCCCAAACTTTTCTAGCAGCCGAGCCTCGTTTTGAAATTTCCAGGATTTCCAGATTTCCGTTTGTCAGAGCACGCTGTTCCGTGTACGACAGAGATGTGAAACAGTTTCAACGTTCCAATCTATTAGTGCAATGGTGTTATAATTACGCAATCACATGAGAGCTTATCCTAAAATTAGTCGATTGAAATAGTACCTAAAAAACTCATGTCGGCAAGTATCACGACGGGGGACACCAGAAGTGGGTTTCACACTCTGTATCCATGTCGAGAATCGAACCCGGGACTTCATAGTGATGGGCAAACACTTTAACCACTCGGCTACCCCACCATCCCTTTCACCATGGAGGGACACAACAATGGGTGTAATTAAGTTATTGGGAATTCATCCCGGATCCTCAGCATGACGAGCTAACACTTTATCTACTGGGATACCTGTGCACCACCGTTTCGTGATTCGAACCAGAATCATAACTGCGAATGCTTAACTGTTGAGCCACCCGTCTCTCCATTACCTATGAAGATCAGTTTTAGAGATGGAATATATCTCTAAAAACAGATATTTCTTTGTAATGAACAAAACACAAACCAGGTAAATATATGTTAATATGTTTATATCTCAATTCAAAGACAGATATATACATACGATGTAAATTATTAAAAAAATAAAAGAAGGATTTTGATACGAGTTTTCTGTATGAGTTCAATGTGTAAACAACCATGTGTCAAAACATTATCGAAATTCCGGGTTTTTACAAGTACCATTAAGAATGCTACGAATATTCAGGATAATACCATATCGGACCTGCTTCACAGACCATCATGGGCCTCAGCGAAACCAACACAATTCCTCCTTTAATATAAACAAAAATGATAAAAATGACTACAAACATTTAGCATAGGTTCAGAGAAGGCACATATGCTATTATGGGTACAAATTATTGTCATATTATAATTGCACTAACAAGATTCGAAATGGAAGAATCTCGGGTATTGACAGAGCATTGTGAGGGCAAGCGTTGTGGAAGGGAGGTAACTCCGATTGACGCGAAGGGCTCCAGCACATGTTTGTTGAGGTAAAATCATAGACCGAGGCGGTCTCTTTACCCACGTGATTATATTGTGTAGTTTCTTTTCATTTTTGAGAAAAGAATTCTATCCGTCTAACGACTAACTGATGTTTACTCTTGTAGAGATTTTCTTGTCAAGTTGTTTCTGTGAAGCCTAAGAATCTGGGCGCCTTCCTGTGAGAACAAAAACGAAAACGTTCCAGAAAACAGTAGAGAAATGTACAAATGAGGCATCAGTTCGATTAGAAACAAAAGGAAAATAACAACAATGTTTTTATTGAATATGTAATCTTATTCTGATCGTTAAGAAAAATGAGCATTTGTCGTTACATATATCAGATGGATATCGCACTTTACATACATAAATAACACAATATTGAGTGAGTGGTACACCAGAAATGGGCTTCACACATTGTCCCCATATGGGGAATCGAACCCAGGTCTTCGGCGTGATGAGCATTTAACCACTAGGCTACCCCACCGCCCCTAAATAACACAAAAAAGTAAATTTACCTGCTAAAAGAACTTGTTGGTGTATGTTTAAAATCTGAAGATGGCGGCAATGAGGCAGGCTGCGAGAAGAGACATGCTTGCAATGGCGCCGGCTGCACCTCCTGAGAAAAACAACATCCAATCATTAAACAGAAAAGTTCGGTCAAATATAATCGTGAAAGGTTGAAAGGACCTAAGTAAAGTCTTAACCTTTCATTCAGATTCTATCGGACGGGGCTTTGGAAGAGTTTCATATTTGGTGTTGATCTTACAACGTATTTAAAGACAATGACAAAATGAATTGATTACATTCTTTTCAAATAGAATCGTTTAATATAAATCACATGACTTTGAGTTTTAATTACTTTTACTCTGGATACATTTTAATCTGAAATACGGCAAAACCACTGCAAAATCAAATTCACGTTCAATTTTAACCTTTCGTTTCACATATTTTGAATTAAAATTAAACTAAAAAAACAAATACAAGTTATGCCTACCGATTGTAGTGGCATCAGGGCACAACATCGCTAGCTCCTTGTATGTGCACTCAAACTGTTGGTTCTCTGAAAACAATGAATGTCAGTTGTGAAATACAACTTGTAATGGTATGATATGGCACTGGAATTGCCAGGAACAATTTATGTCCTGGTCAAGTGAAAGTACACTCCCGAAAATTAAATTTGAGTGAAATATTACAAATATTATGAAACCTTTATAGGCTCAAAACAGCCGCATCGTCACATACTTTTCATTCACAACTGATGTTTCCCTTAGCAATTAATTTCATAAACGACACTCTTTTCATATTGTAAATGCTATAAAAAATCCCTAACTATCCAACCTTATGTTGAGATTCCGGCTATCAGAACCGTAGCATGTATTTATGTGGAAAACAGGATCTGCGTGTACGATCTGCGTCACTCACTGACAAACACTGCAGCTCCCAATATATCCCAACAGAGGTACGTGTACATTAATCGCATTACATGTTCATTGCAATACAAATTATTTGCTAAAACACACCGTTGTTGATCCATTTCAAATATTCATCTAGTTATCGAGTTAAAGGAGCAGCTACATCTCATCAAAAGACAAGGTATCTTACTGAGTTCCTTGTCCATCTCCATCTCGCATCCCTCGGGGAAACCAAAAGCGTTGACACATTTGATCATGACGTTGAAGGATCTGCAGCAAAAAAACCCAACAAATTGTAACATTAAATACTCATACCACTTTCCACAGCAAAACTAACATTTAGTCTCAAACATAAAATGATATTACTTTAAAACAGACATTCACAAATCCAAAAGGAACCAAGGACTGTGCCAACTGATTCAAAACTTTGAGACCATTTCCCGAGGCAAGGGAGGTAATTATCCAGCTTTTTACGCGGAAACCTGTCCATCAGTTAACTCCCTTGCTTCGAGAAGTTGCTGTTTGTTGTATTAATTTCTTTTAATCTGTCGTAAAATCGTGATTTTGTTTTGTCAGGTGTACGTACGTGCAACTCTTAGACAGGATATCGGTAGGACAGGTAGTGTTGCCCGCCTCGATTAGGGCTTTACGGTCGTTCAAGTTGAGGACGTTGGCAGTGGAGAAGGCGGCAACACAGACGTCGAACTTAGCCTTGGAGAAAGTTCCGCAGTCGCCACTTGCAGCATTTGCAACGCTGACTGTTACCCAAAAAATACATAATGACAACATTTAAATTGAGTGAGTGAATTTAGTTCCCAATTAAATTGATGTTTATGATGAAAATGGTCACAATGATGAAAACCGTCATGGTGATAATGATTATATTGATGATAACAGTCATGGTGATAATGATCACAATGATGAAAACCGTCATGGTGATAATGATTATAATGATTTTGACAGTCATGGTGATAATGATTATATTGATGGTAACAATAATGGTGATAATGATTATTTTGATGATAACAGTCATGGTGATAATGCATTCGTGACCAACACGTGTTATTCCGGGACAAGCCGAATTGCGACTTGTGCCCCTCTGGAAGGATTTCATATTGGCGTAGGATCATCAGAACTACTTCAAACAGGAACGATAACTCTATTCCTGTTTGATTGCAATGGTACTTAATATCACCGAAGTACTCATACATTGTATTGCTGTTTTTGGTTTTGCTATTTATTCTAAAGAATTAAACCTCCTTGGTACAACTAAAAGAAAAATAACCCACATATTTGTTAAAGACATATTCTGACGTAATTATTACCAGATATTCACCTTAGATTTCCAATTATATTTCTGAAAAGGGTTTAATAATCACAAATGGGATTGTTTTATTGAATACGCGAATAAATTCTTTTTAAAAAAAACCCCGCTACATTAAATCCCAAAGCAGAAACTCAAAAAATAACTTTTATAATATTTCTCAAACTGAACATACTCCCAGAGAATTTAAATATATGCCCAATGTTAAAGATTAAAGTTGATTAGTTACATACAGATATAATATTATTGTTTTGAAACTCGTAGCGATATATAATTACATTTCCTAAAATTGTTGGAAACGCACGTACAATCTCCATAGCAAGCCCGCAAGATCGTCAGAAACACCCTCAGTTGGACCCATGAGAGCCATTATGTCAACAAACGCACGTGCGTGTATTTGAATCTCTCACCGTCAATCGCATGATTCTTATCAAAAACACCATAATAGGCAGCAAAATTCTGTTAGCTAAGTTCTTTGTATTTTCAATATGACGATATACATTTTTCATGATTTTTTAAACAATGACATAATGCCATAAACGATTTAAGTACTCGGGATTATTTTTATCAAAGCACCGCAGTCATTTACGCGCTTTCTGATTGGTTTGTCGTATTTTCGCACATAACAAGCATCGAGAGGGGGACGAGTCTTCTTGCAGGTTACGGAAAGGGGCGAGTGGTGACGAATGGGTGATAATGGTGATAACGATGATACCATTTTATTGTTTAATGAACTTTCCATCAATGCCCGAGCTACATATAGTGATGGTGGGTCTAGAGCTGGGTGAGACAATCCCGCGATTGACAACGTGAGCATTTGGGATACGATTACATATACTAACCAAGTCAGCGAGGTTGACCAACGCATCCCGTTAGTCAATAAAAGTCATAACACCAAGTGACGATGATTTGAGTAATAAAACGACAAATATATGTGGTGATGAAAAGACTGTAATGATTGTGGTGATGAAGACTGTAATGACTGTGGTGATGAAGACAGTAATGATTGTGGTGATGAAGGCTGTAATGATTGAGGTGATGATGGCTGTAATGATTGTGGTGATGAACACAGTAATGATTGTGGTGATGAAGGCTGTAATGATTGAGGTGATGATGGCTGTAATGATTGTGGTGATGAACACAGTAATGATTGAGGTGATGAAGGCTGTAATGATTGTGGTGATGAAGACAGTAATGATTGTCGTGATGAAGACAGTAATGATTGAAGTGATGATGGCTGTAATGACTGAGGTGAAGAACACAGTAATGATTGAGGTGATGAAGGCTGTAATGATTGTGGTGATGAAGACAGTAATGATTGTGGTGATGAAGGCTGTAATGATTGTGGTGGTGAAGACTTCAATGACTATGGTGATGAAGACTGTAATGACTCTGGTGATGAAGGCTGTAATGATTGTGGTAATGAAGGCTGTAATGATTGTGGTGATGTAGACAGTAATGGTTGTGGTAATGAAGACAGTAATGATTGTGGTGATGAAGGCTGTAATGATTGTGGTGATGAAAAGACTGTAATGATTGTGGTGATGAAGACAGTAATGATTGTGGTGATGAAGGCTGTAATGATTGTGGTGATGAAAAGACTGTAATGATTGTGGTGATGAAGACAGTAATGATTGTGGTGATGAAGGCTGTAATGATTGTGGTGATGAAGACAGTAATGATTGTCGTGATGAAGACTTCAATGACTGTGATGAAGACTGTAATGACTGAGGTGATGAAGACAGTAATGATTGTGGTGATGAAGGCTGTAATGATTGTGGTGATGAAGGCAGTAATGATTGTCGTGATGAAGACTGTAATGATTGTGGTGATGAAGACAGTAATGATTGTGGTGATGAAGGCTGTAATGATTGAGGTGATGATGGCTGTAATGATTGTGGTGATGAAGGTTGTAATGATTGTGGTGATGAAGGCTGTAATGATTGAGGTGATGATGGCTGTAATGATTGTGGTGATGAACACAGTAATGATTGAGGTGATGAAGGCTGTAATGATTGTGGTGATGAAGACAGTAATGATTGTCGTGATGAAGACAGTAATTGAGGTGATGATTGAAGTGATGAAGGCTGTAATGATTGTGATTGATGAAGACAGTAATGATTGTGGTGATGAAGGCTGTAATGATTGTGGTGGTGAAGTCAATGATTGTGGTGATGAAGATGAAGGCTGTAATGATTGTGGTGGTGAAGACTTCAGTAATGATTGTGGTGATGAAGGCTGTAATGATTGTGGTGATGAAGGCTGTAATGATTGTGGTAATGAAGATGTAATGACTGTGATGTAGATGAATGGCTGTGGTAATGAAGACAGTAATGATTGTGGTGATGAAGGCTGTAATGATTGTGGTGATGAAGGCTGTAATGATTGTGGGTAATGATTGTGGTGATGAAGACAGTAATGATTGTGGTGATGAAGGCTGTAATGACTGTGGTGATGAAGACTGTAATGATTGTGGTGATGAAGGCTGTAATGATTGTGGTAATGAAGGCTGTAATGATTGTGGTGATGAAGACAGTAATGATTGTGGTGATGAAGACAGTAATGATTGTGGTGATGAAGGCTGTAATGATTGTGGTGATGAAAAGACTGTAATGATTGTGGTGATGAAGACAGTAATGATTGTGGTGATGAAGTCTGTAATGATTGTGGTGATGAAGACAGTAATGATTGTCGTGATGAAGACTTCAATGACTGTGATGAAGACTGTAATGACTGAGGTGATGAAGACAGTAATGATTGAGGTGATGAAGACAGTAATGATTGTGGTAATGAAGGCTGTAATGATTGTGGTGATGAAGGCAGTAATGATTGTCGTGATGAAGGCAGTAATGATTGTGGTGATGAAGACTTCAATGACTGTGATGAAGACTGTAATGACTGAGGTGATGAAGACAGTAATGATTGTGGTGATGAAGGCTGTAATGGTTGTGGTGATGAAGGTTGTAATGATTGTGGTGATGAAGACTTCAATGACTATGGTGATGAAGGCTGTAGTGGTTGTGGTGATGAAGGCTGTAATAATTGTGGTGATGTAGACAGTAATGATTGTGGTGATGAAGGTTGTAATGGTTGTGGTGATGAAGGCTGTAATGATTGTGGTGATGAAGACTGTAATGGTTGTGGTGATGAAGGCTGTAATGATTGTGGTGATGAAGACGGTAATGGTTGTGGTGATGAAGGCTGTAATGGTTGTGGTGATGAAGACTGTAATGGTTGTGGTGATGAAGACTGTAACGATAAACCATTCAGAACAGCGGAATGCGTAGGCGTCTCCTTCAGAATGAACTTATCTCAAGCCAAGTTGACTAAATGCACTATCTGGTACAAGTCTAGACTAACTCTTAGTCCTTGATATATATTGATAGAAACAAAATACTACCTACAAACTGAAAACGAGAAGCAGCGAGATTCCGGAACGTTAGTGAAACATACACTTGCTTCTTTTGGGGATGTTTAGGGCTGGGCGGAGGAGACATAAGACTCTGAGATAAACAAACAAGCGCATGTTGGTAGACCTGGACTCCACCGAATGCTATACAGTCGCTGTCTTACCCAACCTATTGGACGAGAGTAACACTCCCGGTGCAGAGGCTAAAAAGTGCCCTATAGAATACAGATCCATGAAAAGACAAATATAGTCTCTAAACATTCCTACATCCAAATAAATACAGACGTGTTTCATATTTATGTTGTATGCTTGAATAAGATGTTGCCATACGTTATAGTGTCAGAACATTTTTTTTTAAAATACGTCACGCATAAATAACCTGTGACCGAAAAGATGACTAATATATATGATAAGACTGTCACGCTGTACAGTGTGTGTTGCTAAAGATTGATGACCTGTCATGTTTGACACCTGTACGGTGACACGAGGTAAACACAAGGTCAGCTTCATAACCTCAGGGGCTTGTAACGCAAACCCACCCCAAAACACAAAAACCAAAATACCAAAAAAAACCCAACCAAACAAAACAAAACAAAACAAAGCAAAACACAAAACAAAAACAAAAAGAGTATTGAGGTATACAGTTGAAGCTTATTTCTGGTGTGAATTTTGCTGAAATATTGCTAAAAAAAAGGGCGTAAAACCAAATTCACCCACTCACCACGGTGGATAGCCTAATGGTTAAAGCGTCCCCTCGTCACACCAAAGACCAGAGTTCAGTTCCCCACATGGGTGCAAAGTGTGAAGCCCGTTTGTGGTATCCATCGCTGTTGGTTAAACAACTTTTTATCCGGGTGTGATAAATTATCATAAGAGTTAGTCTGTTGATTTCATGTGACTGTGCAATTTGTTTTGTTGCAATTATTAGATTTTGTGTTAGTGAGCAATTCATCGGCTTCAAATTAAATCAAACCGACTGTAAAAGGACCTTAAAACGCTTAATTTCCTAAAACTGAGGCAATCAA